CTTCACCCACCAGGGAAACCATTATCCTGACTCATAACAGATTACTTTTGCTTTTGTTCTTTATATAAATGGGATTGTGTTAAATGTATTCTTTTGCAGAGATTGATGAAGGAAACAAAGGCAAGAGAAATGTGCCTTAAATTAAATCTCCTTGCAGCTTGTAGCCCACTGATACACACCTGAAACATACAGAGAGTGACCTTGCTCAAGGAACTCATGGTTAGCTTACTTAGCCTTAATGTTTATGTTTTGTTAAAAACTAAAAGTAGCCTTACCTGAACAGCAGCTAACCCCTCAAGGTCCTGAAAGCCTTGCTTCCAAAATTCCTTAGAAACTGACTTTATCTCTATCTCCCTTCCCTCCACAAACTTAAATATATAATCAGTCACTCTTCACAATTCCAGTGCAATGCTTTCTGCCCACAGGTCCTTTCCCCATGCTTTAATAAAATCACCTTTTTGAACCAAAAACATCTCAAGAATTCTTTCTTAGCCATTTTCTCAGAAACCCCACTTCAAATTTCATCATATACAGTATTTCTTTTGCTCAGCATTATATTTATGAGATTCACCTATGCTGTTGCATATAGTTGTGGTTTATTCATTTTTATTGTTCTATAGTCTTCCATTGTGGGAATAAACTATAATTTATTGAACTGTTCCAATGCTGAGGGATATTTGGGTTGCTTCCAGTTTTTTACTTATAAATAGTGCTGTTATTTTTAACTAGTGTTTTCTAGTTCAGGTCTTTCAATGAACATATGTACACTTTTCTGTTGAAAATACACTGAGGAATGGGATATATGAGACATAGGATATATTCATCAGCACTAGATCTGTCTTTTCCATTTAGCCATTCTGGTGGGTGTGTAATGGTGTGCCTTCTGTTCTTCATTCCCATTTCTCTGTAACTAGTAAAGATGAGCACTTTCTTTGACATGCACTGGCCATTTGAATATCTTATTTTGTTAATTGTTCAAGTCTTTTTGCTAAATGTTCTATTAGCTTTCTGCCTTTTACTTTTGATTTTTTAAGTTCTTCATATAATCTGAAAATTTGTTGACTGTGCATACTGCAATATTTTTTTCCCACTCTGTGAATTAATTTTTCAACAGAAGTCTTTATTTATTTATTTAAAGTTTATTTGTTTTGAGAGAGAGAAAGCATGGGCATGTGTGCATGGAAGGGGCAGAGAGAAAGAAAGAAAAAGAATCCCATGCAGGCCCTGTGCTAAGTGCAGAGCCCCATATGGGGATTCGATGTCTGTTTCTGTGTGTCTCATGTAGAGCTTGAGCCTTGACAGGGAAATTATGTATTTTTATGTATTATTCTCCTTGTCTCCCAGGACAAGGAGATCATGACCTGAGTTGATATCAAGAGTCAGACACTTAACCAACTGAGCCAACCAGGTGCCCCTATTTATTTATTTAATTTTAATAAGTAATCTCTACCCTCAATGTGGAGCCCAAACCCACAACCCTGAAATCAAGAGTTGCTCACTCCACTGACTAAGCCAGCCAGGCACCCCTGAACAGAAGTCTTTAATTTATTTTTTTTCCTTTATGGTTAGCCCCTTGTGTGTCCTGTCGAGAAAAATTTTTTCTGCCTTAAGGAAGATATGAAATATCATGAAGATAATTTCCCATTTACTCTGAAACTGATTTTTTAAAAACATATTATTCAATTGACCCATTACTACTTATTGAAGAGTCCGTACTTAAAACTATGCCATTAATCATGGGATTATATAGGTGTGGGTTTGTTTCTGGGCCATATTCCAGAAGCAGTTAATTATTAAACTTATTCTCAAGAAAGAATGCTTGTAATCTGCTTCTTTCCTCAAGTAGCATTTATTACATACTCATTGTGAACTAGGCATCATGCTAAGCGTTTTAGCTGCATCATTTCATTTTAAACCTCATTAACCCCTTATGAGATAGCTGCTATTTTAATCTCCATTTTGTAGATGAAGAAATTAAGACTCAGAGAATTAAATAATTTTCCCAAGATCTCCCAGCTAGTAAGTGGAAGAAAATCTGACTGTCTGTGAAATATGACACTTTACTATACTGTTTCCCAGAGCAGCTTAGAGTGGGGAGGGTAGGCAATAAGAGTATGTATCTTGAGAGTGAAGGGTAATGGTAACAGAGAGGCATGAGACCTATTTCCCTCACCCCAACACTTACCATAGTGTTTTGTTGCTTTTATTTCTAAGAGAGAGAGAGAGGGAGAGAGAGACAGCGTGAGCAGGGGAGGGTCAGAGAGAGGGGGAAACACGAATCTGAAACAGGCTCCAGGCTCTGAGCTAGCTGTCAGCACAGAGCCTGACGTTGGGCTCGAACACAGGAATCCCGAGATCATGACCTGAGCCGAAGTTGGCCGCCTAACCGACTGAGCCACCCAGGCGCCCCTAAAAATTTTCACATTGATTGAAATAATACATTTTATAGATTAGGAACTATAGGTTTATGCTATTTACTATGAACTAGGCATATGATAGAATATATTGTTCTTTTAAAAAAGATTTTATTTTTTAAGTAGTCTTTACATCCAATGTGGGACTCAAACTTACAACTGTGAGATCAAGAGTTACATGCTCTACTGACTGAGCCAGCCAGGTGCCCCCATAGAATATACTGTTGTCATTATACTGTACATTCTTTCTTGATTAGTCGTCAACCTTTGAGAGGAAGGAGTGGCTTTTACATATGTATAACTAGAATAGTGCTCTGCCCAGAGCAAGCATTTAATAAATATTTGTATTTTTAGAGTTGAGCTGTAATTGCTAACTTGAGATTTTCTGTTCAGGTAGGTTTTCTATCCTATATAAACTGTCTTTAGTACAGATCACGTGTTCTATCCTTAACATGTATTTCCTATTTTCTCTTTTTCAATAACTGCTGCCTCAAAGGGGAAAATGCAAATCTTTGACGGAATGGTCTGGTAGCAACAGATCTGAAATTCTTAAAATGTTAGAACCAGGAGCTACTTCCTACACAATGAATGAGTTAAAAAAAGAGAGAGAAATTGACAGAGAGAGACACAGGGACAGAAAATTGAGTCTTGTAAAGAGGCAAGCACTCCCAGTTCTAGACCTTCACCAGGTCTATGACTTTAAGTTCTGTGCTTTTATTTCTCAGGTGCAAAATGGGGCTTGTTTTAAGAGTAAAATGAAGCAACAGACAAAATGGACAAAAACATACAAAGAAAAGTAGAAAAATGCTATTAAATGTCAAATATGGGCTGGGGGAGGGGTGGTGGAGGCACCTGGGTGGCTCAGTCAGCTAAGCCGCTCACTTTTGATTTTGCCTCAGGTCATGATCTCATGGTTCATTAGCTTGAGCCCTACATGGGGCTCTGCACTGAGAGCACAAAGCCAGCTTGGGATCTCTCTCCCCCTCTCTCTGCTCCTCCTCTGGTCTCTCTCTGTCTCTCTTTCAAAATAAACATTAAAAAATTAAAATAAATGTCAAATATTGATAGAAAATAAATTGAATACAAGGTACAGGTGTGCTTGGTATTAATAATAATAAAAGGACTAAATATAGGTTTTAGATATTTACTAAAAAAGGAACTGCTTGACAAAGTAACTCAATATAGTATAATGGTAAATTGTGAGGCTACCTATTGCTTTACATTTTCTGAATAAATGTTTTTAATAAAATATAATCTTAAAAAATTTCTATGTTTATTTATTATTGAGACAGAAACAGAGCATGAGTGTGGGAGGGGCAGAGAGAGAGGGAGACACAGAATCCAAAGCAGGCTCCAGGCTCTGAGCTATGAGCACAGAACCCTACGTGGGGCTTGAACCCACAAACCGTGAAATCTTGACCTAACCCAAAGTTGGTCGCCCATCCGACAGAGCTACCCAGGCGCCCCTATTAAAATATAATCTTATTGCATTTTGAAATAATCAAATTTACAATGATTTAACTTACAGATTTTTGAGATCACATTCACTGCATTGAGTAAAAAAAAGATCTACAATTTACTCTCAGGAATAGAAGGGGGCCTTGAATATCATTATCTTCTGGTTAGCGCAAAAGATGTAAAAATGATATGTATGTTAAGTGCCAAGGTTTTCTCTAAAATGGGCCCGCTGTAAAAGTCAGTGGCGTGCCAGTTCGATTCAACAAATATTTAATTAGCGCTTGTGATTTCCAAGGAAGTGTGTTGGGTGTTGAGAGGAAGCAAAGATGAAAAGCATCAGATCGCTGGAAGACAAGACATGAACCCACTAACTAGTCTGCAAAGCAGAATGGGGCATCATAACGTAGAGAAGGTAAAACACAGGGAGAACCTGGTGGAGTTCAAATCATTTAAATTTTCCTGCCTACGTTTTTGTCTTTTTCTTCCTTTTAAAAGGAAATATTTTGGATCCTTTTTCACATGTGCCAGGTGATTGTCTGCAGAGAATCTGCGACCCTGTGAAATCTCCCCTATTCCCTGTTCTTCCTTTGCTCCCATATTCCATGAGCTCCTCTGCCATCAGCACTGCATTTGGAATGGTATCTATTGTGTGGGTGGTGAAACGATGGAAAGTTATTTTTGTTCTAATTATGAGAACTGTTTTCTGGAAGGGAGAGGAGAGGCAAATCGGAGACAGACGCTCAGCGGTGATGCTCCGAGGAGGCGTTACTAAGGTTACTAGAAAGAGGACGGCAGGTGATGTACAGGCAGGGCTTTTTTCTAAAACAAAACATTTTCAAACGAGGGGCGTGGGCGTAGTGCGAGCAGTACCACACGAAATTAAAAGCTGGGCTCGCGAAGGAAAGGAGGCCGAGGAAAAAACTGAGGGCTGCGACTGGAGAACGTAGAAAGCCTCTGCCTCTCCTCCGGGCCCTGGTTGCCACTGCCTTTGTTTCCCGGGGCTGTTCTGGCTGTAGCACGAGGTCGGCGCGCCCGAGGACGGTGTCATTTAAATGTGACACGCGGCCGAGCCGGACCGGAAGCGGAGCCCAATCGGGACCCGTAGAAAGAGGCGGGGAGCGGGCGGTGGCTGCCCTCTTTGCCTGGAGGCTGAGCTGCCCGGGCGAACCGGATAGGTCCTGCAGCGGCTCGCTCAGGCCGTGCGTCGTCGCCGCAGCCACCGGGAGAGGGGAAGCGACTCCCGCGGGCGTCCTTGGCAGATCAGGGAGAAGGGAAGGGGTGTGTGATAAGGCCTTCAGTGTGTTTGGGGTTGGGTAGAAGGACCTCCCAACTTGTTCCTCATATGCTACTAGTTGACTTTTTGTTGTTGTTTTTGGTTCTAGAGACACCGGCGTCTGCCGTCTCTAATTTCTCTCGGTCCTTGTCAGTTGATTCCTAGCCAGAAGTGAGTGAGGGCTTTTCAGTGCAACCGCTAATTTGAGATGGGCATGGGATGGATGAAACTGCCAGAGGGGGAAAATGGGAGAGGGGGAGCAAGGGTAGGAGGTGGTGTCGCGGGGCTGTGAGGCCAGGATGGCATTAATAATAGTCAACATTTACAGGATTTTACCATAGTAGACTCTCTTCGAAAACTCTTTCTATGCTGTACTACATTTAATGTCCAGTTCTATCGAACCGGTATTCTTAATAGCCTCATTTTATAGAACGAGAAAAGGGGGAACTGAGGCTCAGAGGGGTAAAGGAACATGCACAACAAAAGACAAATGAAAAGTTCAGAGCCAGGATTTGCACTCTGGTAGGCTGATGCCAGAAATACATCTCTAAGCTACACGCAGTGGTTGATCCCCATCGAGATATTTGGAAGATGAGGACATAAAGGGTGAGAAGCTGGTACGGCTTGAACAGATGCATTAAGACAGCTGGAGTAAGAAGTTGACATGATAAAGGGTGGGAGATCCAGGTGATGACAGATGTAAGGGAGGATAGAGTTGGAACTGTGGCCTAGAACCTTTACCGCCAACCTTCAGTGGGGCCTTCCTCTAGAATTCTGTGGGGCCTTCCTCTAGAATTCTGTGGGACAGGTAAGAGAGGTGTTCACTCACACACTTAAGTTTGAAAATGGAATCCTAAGAATTCACAAATATATGACTTAAGATTTATTTGATGTAGCCATCTTATTTAGCAGATGAAGCCCAAAGAGATAAAGTAATTTATTCAAGGTAGCCAGGACTAGAAAGGTATCTTATCTTAGGTCCAGTGCAATAAAGTTTAGGGAGTTCCTTCCTTTCGGCGCTGCTGCACTTGTAATAGTGAATATTAAAGTTGAAAATTTTCGATATATCATTTGATCTGGACTAGTTCCTTGTAGCCATATGAATTGGGTATTGGTGACCTCAAAAGTCAAATAATCCACTGATTCCCCATTAACATGTGTTCCAAATTCAATGTAATGCTGAAACCAGTTGCTTCCTCCAATACAACTCAGTGACAATTGAGATCTTTCTATATTTCTAAGAATTTCAGTTAAAAAATGAATTGGAACAAGATAAAATTTACTAGACCAAAGGGCAAAGTTGTTTGCCTTGAAGAAACTAGGTTTAAAAGAAAAAGGAAATTTCAACATATATTGAAAAAAGATAGTTAAGTTTTAATGAATTGATAGTGTACTGTTCACAAATAGAGTAAGTCTAATGGAATAAAATAATCAGTGGTAGCATATTCCAGAAAGGCAAATTGGAGTACTAGAAATCATGGGCTTAAGAATCAAGTAGATCAGCTTAGCCACTTATTTGCTCTATGACTGATTTACTTTGTCTTTGATTTCTTCATCTGTAAAGTGTAGCGCATGGTTCCTAACTTGTGGAATTAAAAGCAGTGTTTGTTAAGGACCTACCATAATGTCTGGAACAAAGTTGATGATAAATACACTGAGTCAAAAGTGAAGCATTGCTGAATCTTGTGTGCGGTCACATGGTAGGTTCTCTGAAAAGAACCTCATTTTCAACGAAGAGGTCAAAGAGTAGCTTCCCTGGTTGGTCTAATAGTAATTAAGGTGAAAAATGTTAATGGATTCATTTTCTGAAGGGTAAGTCTGTTATTTAAAAGTGAATGAAAGTTTAGATGGCTGGATAACCCCTGAACAGTGATATACCCACCATGATCCTTTACAATTATTACAGCTTTTAAAGATAACTTATTTTTTTTAACTATTTTGTTTCCTGAACTATGAGATATTTATAAGTAACTGACTTTATACGTCTTTACAGATGCATGGTCATGGAGGCTATGACTCTGATTTTAGTGATGACGAACACTGTGGCGAATCTAACAAAAGGAAAAAAAGGTAAGTAATTTTTTACTAATCTGTGTTTCAGATCCTTTCTAGATTGAGAAGAGGTATAAATAAATAATACTGAAAGTTTTTGGATTATGTTTGCATGTGAAAACAATGACTCTACTGAATGAATTTTTGTTCCTTAAATTATAATGAATTGACTCGAGAATTTGAGAACAGTTATGTGACAAATAAGGAAATAGTTTATGGAGATTTATGGAAGAGGAGGTGGGGGCAAAAGGAAACCAAGTAAAACTTAGATTTCTCTGTTGCATCTGATTTTCATTGACCTGTTAAGGACTTATGACTTGTGAATGTCATAGCTAAGAAGGGGCTCAGTTGGAGGTCCCTTTGCAAGTACTTGACCTCAAAATGAAGTTCATGTGGAGGGTGAGATTATGCAGTTTTATGGTTTTGTGAATGAGCAGATTGAGTGTCTAAAGGAAGAAGCTCATAAAGATACTGGGCTTTATAAGGACACTGACTCTTGGTTATATTGCTGTTTTTAGGGGCATTGTTTTCAGCTTTTAGTGCTTAGAAATTTGATTTTATCTGTTAATTTAGGAGTGATTGACTGATTTATATTAACCAAACCTATAAAAATTGTTTTGTTATTTCATACTGAGAGCAATATGTTAGCCATACTAAATGAACCTGAACATTTTTGTTGGGTACTCAGTCTTCATGGATAACCAAAAGAATAGAAATGATTATAACAAATTATGTTGTATGGTTCTTTATGTTTTTAAGATTTTTCACTGAAAAATATAGCTTTGTAAAAATAGAATTTGAACAAATATAGCTGAATAGTCTATACTTTTCAGTTATATCTATCTTTATAACTAGGGCTGATCATATACAGCCTATATCATTTATAATCAGCCCTTATTCTTTCTTATGTTATCAGTTACCAAAAGCATCAATATCTCTACAAACAGGAAAATTGTGGCACAAAGAGATTAAATAACTTAATCTCATATAAGTTTAAGACAGTAGAAAAAAAAAAAGATAGTGAATGACAGAACCCAAATTTGGATCCAGGAACCTAGGTGGTCTAACATCAGAACCCATGCATTTGTTTATTTCACCTTCTTCATTTTCAAAGTATTAAGTAAAGTTAAGATATTAATTTTAGGTCTAAAATGCTTCATTAAAGATCAGTGAGTCATTTTTAAGTTAAGACTTGAAATTTTTAGAACATGTTCCCATTAGAAAAATAAAAAGAAATAAGAAATACCCTTTAGGAAAAATGAACTCTTTTAATAATTTTTCTTCTTCACAAACCAGGACAGTTGAAGATGATTTACTGCTCAAAAAGCCATTTCAGAAAGAAAAGCATGGAAAAGTGGCCCATAAACAAGTTGCCGCAGAATTGCTCGATAGGTGTGTACTTCAGTGTAAATGTCCTTTTTTGGTTTAAGATGTTTTTGTAAACTTAGGGACTTGGGAGATTTGATTATATTAATTAGAATATAGACATTTGAATTTGCTTAAAATTTGTCTTAACAGGGAAGAAGCAAGAAATAGAAGGTTTCATCTCATAGCTATGGATGCTGTATCCTTTTTATATAGTTCTAGATACTAATAGAGTATTTTTAAATCTACTGTATTTCATAAAATCTTGTGAAGGCAGATAGACTTATATTTTTAAAGGTAAATGTTTATTGATGTGCAATCTTGTCATTTCTACTTTTCAGTACAGTTCTCTATTAAAACATAAGAAAGATTTAGCGACAAAAGTAATAAAACATATTAGTAATCTATAAATAAGTTTACAAAATCCATGAACTTGCAAATATTTTTCCAACCTGTTTTTGCCTGACTTTCAAAATTTCTCATTTTAAAGTATTAAAATCTTATCTTTAGTCTCATTTTAACTCTTATTCTTTTGCTATCTGGTTCTTGGTTATGGAAGTTCTTTATTTATCTAAAGGTAGATCTGTCTGTGGACTGTCCTCAGGCCTGTTGTGGCTTCAACTCTCAGACATGACTTGGGTCTGTCTTTAAGATGTTTCTTGCTACCCTATTATAGCCATATCTCACCTCAACTTTTTGGTAAGACTGGCTCACTATACTAACTGCTACCACTGTCCATCCATACTACTGTTGGGAACATTGGGAGAATGAAAGAGAGGTCAAGCAAGACCTGAAGTATTTCTGGATATTTATTACTATGGGCAGGATTAAGAGACAATGGCAGTTAGATACATCCCCTATCTATCGACATCTGTTTCACCTTGTTATCATTCCTAATCCATCTCTATAAGTTGTAGAAATTCTTATTTCCAATTTATTTATTCCTCTTATGTTCTAATAAGCTGATAGCTCAGTTTTCCCATGGATTTATTCTCCTCCGTCACATGTTCCTTTAGCATTTCCACATCAATTGTGCCTTGTGTGACACCACTCATTTGGGGGTGTTTGGGCATCTAGTTACAGCCTGGTGAGAGTGAAAGTGTAGGTCCCATTTTCTGGTATGGGTGGAGGCAGGGCCACAGTTATTTCTAGAATTTTTGGCTGCAGTAGAGTAGGCATTGTCTAAAAGTTACCTGTCTTGTCAGGTTGCCTCTCTTTTGGTTATTCAGTTAGAGCAGGCTTTTGTTGGGACTTTCCTTGTCTGTGCTTGTTGGCATTTCCAAGTTGCCAGCTTCTTCACTCCCAGTCTGAGTTATTGAGGCAAAAAGAAAACCTGGGGAACTTACATCATGTCATGCCATGGGTCTTGAGCTCCCTGGCTACTAATGCCTTCTTCTCCTCACTTTTGGAGTCTTCTTATATTTGTTGAAAAAATTTTTTTAAATGTTTTATTTATTTCTAGGAGAGAGAGAGAGAGACAGCATGAGCATGGGAGGGTCAGAGAGAGAGAGAGTCACAGACTCTGAAACAGGCTCCAGGATCTGAGCTGGCAGTCAGCACAGAGCCCGACGTGGGGCTCGAACCCACGAACCGCGAGATCATGACCTAAGCGAAAGTCGGACGCTTAACTGACTAAGCCACCCAGGAGCCCTATTCTTATATTTGTTTTAGATAGAACTTCCAAGGTTATTAGTGTTCTTAATGAGAAGAATAGGGAGAAGTACATCTTTGCTCCATCTTCCTGGAAGCAAAGTCTTACTCAGCACCCACTTTTATAAGTAAAGTTTTATTGGCACATACCTGTGTTCCTTCATTGAGGCATTATCTGTGCCTATTTTCATGCTAAAATAGCAGAGCCAAACAGTTGTGACAAAGACACATTTACAGGTGACAAGACCGCATTTACAAAAAAAATTTGCTGACCCTGACTTGCCATGGTCATATGACCAGTTAGAAATAGACCAAGAGCTGGAAAAAACCCAAATCTCTGGATGTCTGGCTTTTCTCTTTTTTCTTTTCTTAAGGTTAGCTGCTTTATGGCCAGTTTTGAAAGTATCATATTCTGATTCAGTATTCTGCCAGAACACATTGTAATGAATTAAGTCATTATTTATCTTTGATATAATAGGATGTAGTCAGACAGTTTTGTTATTTGCATATTCAGCTCTGGAAAAAATACCATTGAGCTTTTTAAAACAAAAAGTAAAATGGTCATATATCTTGTTATATTGTATTAAAAATAAGCATGACTGAATTCTTCAAATACTAAAAGAAAGTATAAAAAATAATATATCTTATATTGTTTTTGAAAGCTTAATGTTAGGATTTAATATTATAAAAGTTGTATCTTTTAGAGGCTTTGTCATTACTGGAATAACTATATTTTATAGTAATAAGAGCTAAATTGTACTCAATGCTTTTAATTTTGGAAACTATAATTTATTTTTTTATATTATGATTAAAATGAATATTGATGTGAGGCTGTTTGTATTTCAGCAATAGAAACAGGAGACTTTCTTTCTTCTCAGTTGGAGATAATATATATATTTTTTTAATGTTTTATTTATTTCTAGGAGAGAGAGAGAGACAGCGTGAGCAGGGGAGGGTCAGAGAGAGAGGGATATACAGACTCTGAAATTGGCTCCAGGCTCTGAGCTGGCAGTCAGCACAGAGCCCGACACAGGGCTCGAACCTACGAACCGCGAGATCATGACCTAAGCGAAAGTCGGACGCTTAACCGACTGAGCCACCCAGGCGCCCCTGGAGATAATATTTTATCACAAGAATAGTATATGCTTGAAAACTGTTCAAAACAATATAAACAGTATTCAATAGAAGGTAAAAGTCCTTCTACTCTGTAGTGTTGACTCTTAACAGTTTAATATTTATTTACCCTTTTAGATATTTTTTAATTCATGAGCATATATAGTATGTGTTTGCATAAAGAACTAAGTAGATTCTTACTGTTTTTCTCTACTTACTCGTACATCATGGGCACAGAACAACCCCTGAACAAATAAAATCCTTAATTTTTTGCATTTCAGTATCAAAGGCATACAAAGTTTGTAAATGACTATATTTTATACTATGGTGGCAAAAAAGAAGACTTCAGGCGATCAAGGTAAGTGTCATGAAGCCTATATAGAATGGGAGGAAGGTATGGATGTCTTTAAAAACCCACAGCTACTGTGTCTTCTGATTCTGTCATTCTTTCCTGCTTTCCATTCCAGTTTCCTTATAATATCCTGAAATGGAGAGGCTATCCATAACTTTTGGCTAAAGTAACTCCTCATGAACCCCATAGTCTGGCAAAGGTCTCAGGGAGTCTGCGGAGCCTGATCTGCCTCTAGCAATAACAGGATATGTAAGGAATACTCATGTGCCTGATTATGCAGCAAATATTTATTTATTTATTTTTTATTATTTTTTTTGGTAAAGATCTTTGAGATAATTAACTTTTTAAAAAAGACCTCAATGTTTGGTATTACTTTTTAAAAGGTAGGGAAAACAAGAAAAAACACACAAAAAAAAAACCCCAAAAATAAAAAATAAAAAACAACTTCTTCCTGTAGTTGAGGCTCTTCTATCAGAGCCTCTTCATTGTGTGTGTGTTTTTTTCCTGACCTAATAATTTTCTGAGTTTGGTAGAACCCTAAAAACACTTTATATTATCTACCTCAAATTTATCTCCCCTCTCAATTTAACCTGTATTCCCCAACAATGCCTTGTTCTATCCCCAGAATTGTTTAACACCTTTTTTTTAAGTTTATTTAATTATTTTGAGAGAGAGAGTAGGGGAGGAGCAAAGAGAGAAAGGAAAGAATCCCAAGCAGGCTCTGCACTGTCAGCACAGAGCCTGACGTGGTGCTCAGGCTCATGAACCGTGAGACCATGACCTGAGCCAAAATCAAGAGTTGGCTGCTTAACTGACTGAACCACCCAGGTACCCCCAAACTCTTAGCATCTTAAAATGTCATCTCCTCTTTTCTCTTCCATCCTACTCAGTCTTTCTAGGAAGCTGTAGTAAAATGAGGTATGGAAAACTCTTCATACGGTTTTTAAAGTTGATCTCTGTGGCATGGTGTTACTGACTTTTTTTAGATTCTAAAAGTTACTTTCATTCATTTTTCCTTATCCACTTAGTGTTTATTTGGATTTCTCATCCTAGCTTTGGTAATTTAGCACCATTTGTATAATTGAAACCAGTACTAGAGATGGATGGACACCTTATCCATTTAACTTGCTTGTGTAGCAGCCCTCTTTATCAATGTCTTTTGAAAATATTGAAATCATTTTTATACGTTTATGAACATATATACATATTCACACATAAAACTATCTTTATCTTCACGTATTTTTACTCAGGTGTTAAAAATTTCACAGAACTGTTTAACCTCCTAAATTTGACACATTTTGTGTGTATGTTAAATTGAAATAGTTTTATTTTCCAGGGAAAATGACAAGACAGACATGGATGTTATACGAGAAAATCATAGGTTCCTATGGAATGAGGAGGATGAAATGGACATGAATTGGTAATTTTTGCCATCCAACACATAATGCATAAAATGCTTTAGTCCTGTCTCTCCTACTTGCTCCCTGTTTTCTTACCCTATCACCTGTCCAGGTCATTCAGCCCCTGCATGGAGGAGTTCTGAATGGAGGACATCAGAACATGCCTTGGAGTAGTATTAAGTCTAGTTTGGTTCTTTTGGTAGTTTTTAGAAGTTTTAACTGACTTGCCGTTGCTTGACTTTGTCTTGAAAAGATAGTTTATTACACTTTTACTATATTGTTTGTTGTTCTGTAATATGCTTCTTTTTAAATTTTTAAAATATTTTTAGGAAGTATTACTTGAAAGTAATACCTGAAATGCAAATATGACAAAAGATACAAAGCGAGGAGTAAGGTTCCTCTTCTCTGACTGTCAATCTTGCAATTTCCCTCCCGAGAGAGCCAGTATTAATAGTTAATATTCAGGTATTCTGTGCACATGTAAGTAATAGGCCTCTTTTAAAACATTAATATTTATATCATATGTGTTATTTATTTGATGTTGCTTCCAAGTAGCAAACTGTGGTTGAATTTATAAATGTAAAAGATTGATATATTTTTTATGGCTCTAGGGAGAAGAAACTTGCAAAGAAATACTATGATAAATTATTCAAGGAATACTGCATAGCAGATCTCAGTAGATACAAAGAAAATAAGGTATGCCTTCCAAATATTTATAGAAGGTTCTTATTTAAGCACAGTATTATTATTATTGTCATGCCTCACATTTTTCTTTTAAAGGTGCTAATTGAAGTCTAGGTTGAATTAGCCCTGCATCTATGAAGAGTCATTTGGACCATTGAACTTCTAGAGCTATGAAATTTACAAAGGGTCTCTTAGTCAAGGGTGCTTTGTGAGCTGAGGCATGAATAGTCTAAAATTAAGCACAAGTGGCTACTGGATCTTGTTTCATCCTGACTCTGGCCTAGAGCCTCTACTGATTATAATGAATGATTTGACACTGCAGAATGATGTCTTGTCTCACAGATGATGTTTGAAATCGATAAACTTTTTTTTTCAAATAAATTACCATCTGTAAAGAGGCAGATGCACATCTTCTTTTATATAAATGTCTATTCTAGTATAATTAAATCTTAACTAGTGCTAATTAGTAATGACGGATTTCCGTTCCCACTTTACATGTTACTCTAGTTGATATTAAAGTGATTTTTATTCCCATCTCAAATTTCACATTTGTAGCTAGAGAAGGTGACCTAGGAACAGATGATCTTAGTTTGAAATGGGGGGGGGAAGGGAGGGAGTGTTGCATAAATCTGTATGTTTTGGCTAGTGTACATTTGTTTAAAAAGATAAGCTATTTAAAAATTTGTTTTAGATTTATGTATTATAAGAAGTTATTTTTCAGTTAAATCTCAGAATCATGATTGGTTTAATTTTTTTTTTCAGTAGTGTCTTGCTTCACAGAATCTTATAGGTAATAGTATCTATTTTTACAACCCTGCTTACAAACCAATGCATGTCATATATCCGAAAGACTTCCTCAGTTTCTTAGGAACTAGCTCTCCTCTGTAGTAGTTATTGATCACATCAGATCCAAAAGGCATCACAACAATTGGAGTTACTCAACTGCAAGTTGAATGTGAAATATAAATCTTTCTAAGACCACATAATAAAGCAGCTTTTTCAGCGCTGACTCATTTGTTGTTTTTCAGTATTTATTAAGGAATAGGCAAGTTATAGTGGATTAAAACAGTCACTGTAGTGACTGCCCTTCAAAAAAAAAAAAAAAACCACCTATAGTAATAGTTGAGGGAAGAAAGTGTACATAAATCAATATTAAATATTTGTATTCTCCATTTAAAAAGCACAATATATTACTGGAAATCATGCTTGAAAGAGGATAATCTTGAAACAAATTATATTTTCCTATTAGAACATGATGACTAGTTAGATATGAGGTAAATCCAAGTAAGAAATCAGAAATAGGAAATTTGGAGGGAGACAGATGTGTTGTTTTTTTTAAAGACTTCATTTTTTAGGGGCAGTTTTAAGTTCACAGCAAAATAAAGGGGAAAGGTACAGAGATTTCCTATATACCCCTCTCCCCATACACATGACGGGGATCTTTTCTACGGGGAAAGATGACTTTTTTTGGCATACCACATTTGAAGTGCTCAAAAAAGTTGAGTACTGCCTTTGATTTTCTTGCCAGGATGCATTTTCTCATAGTTTTATTTATACAAAGACAGTGTTGTATTCATTTTTTAAAAATCAGCTCCTAGCTCAGTGCCTAATATATACAGTAGATGGGGCAGTTTTAGTGAACTCCAGCCTTTGTCCCACACACCGATTCCCTTCCTTTTACTTCTTCCCTTTCATCATTGAGAATTTGGTTGGATTGTTGCATCAGTTAGGATTAGATTCAGCTGGAAGGACTGACGCACTCCTAAATAACACTGTCTTAAATGAGATAGAATTTTATTTTTCTTCTACATAGAAGTCCAGGTAGATGTCATGGAACTTTGTGTTCTCAGGAAGTTAGGGTGTGTCTGTCTTATTGCTTGTATGTGTGATATCTTTGTGCTAGAAGGTAGAGTAAGAGGAGGCGGCTCAGCACCAAATCCTTAGTAACTAACTAGTAGGACTGTATTTGTGACATTTTTTTATCCCTCTATAAGATTATAACCTTCCTGATGACAGGCACAATTTTAATAATCATTTTATATCTTCAGCAGAGTGCCAGGCCCAGTAAGTAGTTGCTTAATAATTATTTGTTGAATAGATTAATGAATGGGAGAAAAAGTTGGGAAACTATTGTACACATTTGTGCTTCAGTGGACATCCTAACATAGATGTTGGATGACAAGCAATCCTCACATACATGTATGGACTTAAAAATAGAATTAAACAGACTTATTTTGAATGCTTTATTTTTTTTTCCTAGACTGGAGAGATTTTATTTTTATTAGATTTTAATGAGAATATTTTCAAATATTTTGAGCCCTCATTTGCATTTAAAATACAAAATTGCCTAATTCAAATAATAGGTGATAAAAAACAAAATAGGCAAAGTTAACCAGGCATTGAACACTTAATCTGGATTATCTCTTTTAATACAACAACCTATAATATTGGGGTTTTAATACATACAAAGGATATAGACTGAGAAGAAAGATCACAGAGCTAGTTAGTGAATGGTAGAGCTTACATTGGGTCTGTATGATTCTAGAGCTGAGCTTTTAACCATTATAGTAAACCTAATAGAAAACTAAGTAATTTACTATAATTTCAGAAAATTAGTATGTGAATATGAAAGATCTTAAAAAGACAGTGGAAAAAATTATTTTTAGCTAAAATACAAAGTTATGTTTAGGAATCTGGAAGGAAGTTTAACACCTTTCCACTTTAGGGATCCAGATGGTCCCATTTCTCTTTCTTGTTCATTACTTTGCCATTGCAGTGGGGAAAGAGCCTTTCATGAATAAATGGTTGTGGTTGTATTCTAATAAAACTTTATTTGTAAAATAGGCAGCAGGTCTGTCAGCCATAGTTTGCTAACCCCTGGGGTACTATGTACCATGTACTATTCTAAGCACTTTATGTGTACTATCCTATTTAAACCTTTTAAACCAAAGAAGTAAGAACTGTATTATCTCTACATTACATATGAGGAAATTGAGGCACAAGAATATTTAATACCTTGTCCAATATTATAATCTATTAAGCGGTGGGGCTAATACCTGAAATGTAGATAAATCCAACTCTTTTGCATTGTAGTATATTGCCTATTCACTGTACCATAACCTCTTTTTTTTCCCATCAGTGGCATAAAACAATATATATTTTTTATTAAGGTAGGTATCTTGTGGCCTACCACCTGTACCTATTAATAGGTAGTTTAAAAGTAAAGATTGCTCTTTAACATTGTTCAAATGTATTTTTAAAGACCTGGAATTCTCTATAAGAAAAAAAAGGTATCATGTTGAAAATTAAGTTTGCTTTTTTTTTTTCAACTTTTTATTTTAATCACCTGGTGCCCATCACAAGTGTACTCCCCATCACATATTTCATCTATCCCCCTCCCCATCTCCCTCCTGGTACCATCAGTTCTCTGTAGTTAGGAGTCTCTTGGTTTCTCTCTCTCTCTCTCTCTCTCTCTCCCTCCCCCCCCCCACCCTCCCTCTCTTTCCCCCTCCTCCTCCCCCTCCCTCTCCCTCTCCGCTTCCCTCTCTCTTTCTTTCTCTTCCTTTTGTTCATCTGTTTTGTTTAAATTCCACATGAATGAAATCGTATGCTATTTGTCTTTCTCTAACTGACTTATTTCACTTAGCCTAATACTCTCTAACTCCATCCATGGCATTGCAAATGGCAAGATTCCATTCTTTTTTATGGCTGAATTATATTCCATTGTAGTGTGTGTGTGTGTGTATTTATATATACCACATCTTCTTTATCCATTCATCAATTGATGAACACTTGGGCTGCTTCCATATCTTGACTATTGTAAATAATGCTGCATGTAAATACATGCACATAGGGGTGCATGTATCCTTTGAATTAGTTTTTGTATTCTTTGGGTAAATACCCAGTAGTGTTATTGCTGGATATTAAGGCATTTCTATCTTTAACTTTTTGAGGAACCACCATACTGTTTTCCAGAGTGGCTGTACCAGTTTGCATTCCCACCAGCAGTGCAAGATGGTTCCTTCTTCTCTACATCCTTGCCAACACTTGTTGTTTCTTGTGTTTTTGATTTTAGCCATATTGACAGGTGCGAGGTAATAGCTCATTGTAGTTTTGATTTGCATTTCCCTGATGATAAGTGATGATGAGCATCTTTTCATATGTCTGTTGGCCATCTGTGTGTCTTGTTTAGAGAAATACCTGTTCATGTCTTCTGCCCATTTTTAATTGAATTATTTGGTTTTGGGGAGTTGAGTTGTGTATGTTCTTTATTTTTTGGATAATAACCCTTTATCACATCTGTCATTTACAGATATCTTCCCCATTCCATAGATTGCCTTTTAGTTTTTTGATTCTTTCTGTCATGATGCAGAAGCTTTTTATTTTGATATAGTCTCAATAGTTTTTTGCTTTTGTTTCCCTTGCCTCAAGGGACCTATCCAGAAAAAGAGTTGCTATAGCCAATGCCAGAGAAATTATTGCCAGTGCTATTTTCTAGGATTTGTATGGTTTCAGGTCTCACATTTAGGTCTTTAATCCATTTTGAATTTATTTTTCTGTGTGGTATAAAAAAGTGGTCCAGTTTCATTCTTTTGCTTGTTGCTGTCCAGTTTTCCCAGTACCATTTGTTGAAGAGATTGTCTTTTTCCCATTGGGTATTCTTTCCTGCTTTGTCAGAGATTAATTGACCTTAAAATTGTGAGTTTATTTCTGGATTTTCTATTATGTTCCATTGATCTATGTGTCTGTTTTTGTGTGGGTACCATACTGTTTTGATAACTACAGCTTTGTAATATAACCAGAGTTGTGATGCCTCGAGCTTTGCTTTTATTTTCTTTTTCAAGATTGCTTTGGCTACTCAGGGTCTTTTGTGGTTCCATACAAATTTTAGGATTGTTTGTTCTAGTTCTGTGAAAAATATAGTTGGTGTTTTGATAAAGATTACATTCCATGTGTAGATTGCTTTGGGTAGTACAGACATTTTAACAATATTTGTTCTTCCAGTCCAGGAGTGTGGGATGTCTATTTCTTTGTGTCTTCTTCTTCAATTTCTTTCATCAGTGTCTTGTAGTTTTGGAATGCAAGTCTTTCATCTGTATCTATTTGGTTAGGTTTATTCCTAGGTATCTTACTATTTTTGGTGCAATTGTAAATAAGATTATGTCTTAATTTCTCTTTCTACTGCTTTATTATTGATGTACAGAAATGCAGCACATTTGTGGACATTGATTTTGTATTCTGTAACTTTAGTGAATTCGTTTATCAGTTCTGGCAGTTCACTGGTGGAGTCTTTCAGGTTTTCTATATGTAGTATTATGTCATCTGAAATAGTGAAAATTTTAAATTCTTTCTTACTGATTTGGGTGCCTTTTATTTCTTTTTGTTGTCTGTAGTACTATGTTAAATAAAGGTGGTGAGAGTGAACACTCTTGTTCATGACCTTAGTTAGGGGAAAGGCTCTCAGGTTTCCCCACCAAGATTGATGTTAGCTGTGGGTTTTTCATATATGGCCTTTATTATGTTGAGATCTGTTCCCTCTAAACCTACTTTTTTTGAGGGTTTTTATCATGAATGGATGTTATACTTTGTCAAATGCTTTTTCTGCATCTATTGAAATGATCATATAGTTCTTACCCTTTCTCTTATTGATGTGATATATCATGTTGATTGATTTGTGAATATTGAACCAACATTGATACCCAGGAATAAATCCCACTTGATTGTAGTGAATGATTTTTTTTAATGGATTGTTGGATTTAGTTTGCTAGTATTTTTGTTGAGTATTTTTGTATCAATGTTCATGAGAGATGTTGGCCTATAATTCTGTTTCTTTGTAGTGTCTTTATCTGGTTTTGGTATCAGGGTAATGCTGGCTTCATAGAATGTATTTGGAAGTTTTCCTTCTTTTTCTATTTTTTGGAATAGTTTGAGAAGAGTAGGTATTAACTCTTCTTTAAATGTTTGGTAAAATTCACCTGTGAAGCCATCTGGTCCTGGACTTTTGTTCGTTTGTAGTTTTTTTTTTTATTACTGAATCAGTTTCTATGCTGGTTATCAGTCTGTTCAAATTTTCTATTTCTTTTGACTTCAGTTTTGGTAGTTGATACGTTTCTAGGAATTTATTCATTTTTGCTAGGTTGTCTAGTTTGTTGGCATATGTTTTTTTTATAATATTCTTGTATAATTGTATTTCTGTGGTATTGGTTGTTACTTCTCTTCTCTCATTTGTGATTTCATTGATTTGGTTCCTTTCTCTTCTGTTCTTGATAAGTTTGACTAGAGATTTATTAATTTTATTGATTTTTTTTCAAAGAACCATCTCCTGGTTTCATTGATCTGTTCTATTGTTTTTTCAAGTTTCTATATCATTTCTGCTCTAATCTTATTATTTTCTTCTGCTGGTCTTGGGTTTTATTTGTTATTTTTCTAGCTCCTTTAAGTGTAAGTTTAAGTTATTTATTTGAGATTTTTCTTGCTTCTTGAGGTAGACCTATATTGCTATAATCTTCCCCCTTCAGACTCCTTTTGCTGCATCACAAAGGTTTTATTTATTTATTTTTGTATTTATTTTTAAATGTTTATTTATCATGAGAAAGAGAGCAGACAAGTAGGGGAGGTGCAGAGAGAGGGAGAGAGAGACAGAATCCCAAGCGGGTTCCACACTGTCAGTGCAGAGCCTGATGTGGGGCTTGAACCCACCAACGGTGAGATCATGACCTGAGCTGAAACTACAAGTCAGACACTTAGCCTACTGAGCCACCCAGGCACTCCCTTTTTTTTTTTTTTTTTTTAAACAAAGGTTTTAAACCATTGTGTTTTTATTTCATTTGTTTCCATATACTTTTTCAGTTCTTTTATTTCCTGGTTGGCTCATTCATTGTTTAGTAGCATGTTATTTAACCTCTGTATATTTGTGGTCTTTCCAGATTTTTTCTGGTGGTTGACATCTAGTTTTATAGCATTATGGTCAGAAAAGATGCATGGTATGACTTTGATCTTTATGACTTTATTGAAGGTTGTTTTGTGGCCTAATATATGATCTGTCCTGGAGAATGTTCCACCAGCACTTGAATAGAATGCGTAATTCTGCTGTTTTAGGATGCAGTGTTCTGAATATATCTGTTAAATCCATCTGTGTCATTCAAAGCCATTGTTTCCTTACTGATTGAGATGATCTGTCCATTGATGTAAGTGGGGTATTAAAGTCCCCTACTCTTACTGTATTATTATTGATTAGTTCCTTTATGTTTGTTAATAACTGTTTTATGTATTTGAGTGCTTTCATGTTGGGTGCATAAATATTTACAATTGTTACATCTTCTTGTTGGGTTGTCTTCTTTATTAATATATACTGTCCTTCTTTGTCTCTTGTTACAGTCTTTGTTTTAAAGTCTGTTTTTTCTGATACAAGTATTGCTACTCTGGCTTTCTTTGACATCCGTTTGCATGATAAATGTTTCTCCGTCTTCTCACCTCGCACATCCTCAAAACATGTGTCTTTAGTTCTAAAATAGTCTCTTATGGGGCGCCTGGGTGGCTTAGTCGGTTAAGCGTCCGACTTTCACTTAGGTCATGATCTTGCGGTTTGTGGGTTCGAGCCCCGCGTCGGACTCTGTGCTGACTGCCAGCTCGGAGCCTGGAGCCTGCTTCAGAGTCTGTGACTCCCTCTCTCTCTGACCCTCCCCTGCTCACGCTGTCTCTCTCTCTCTCTCCTAGAAATAAATAAAAATATTAAAAAAATAAAATAAAATAGTCTCTTATAGGCAATGTATAGATGGGTCTTGATTTTCTATCCATTCTTTCACCCTATGTCTTTTGATTGAAGTATTCAGTTCATTTACATTCAGTGAAATTATTGATAGATATGTATTTATTGCTATTTTATTACTCATTTTGTGGTTGTTTCTTTTGTCTGATCCTTTCTTGTCTTTCTCTCATAAATGGTTTGCTGGTTTTCTTTAGTGGGATAGTTGGAATTATTTCTCTTTATTCTTTGCATATTTATTGGTAGTTTTTCTTTTCGTGGTTACCATTAGATTTAGATATAACATCTTTTATATATTACAGTCTCTATTAAGTTGATGGTTTAAGTTTGAATCTATTGTTCACTCCTCTTCTCCCTATGTTTTAGGTATATAGTATCATATTTTACATAGTTTGTCTGTCAGCCTTCAGGTTGATATCTCCGGTATTTAGGATAATTTGATAGTTATCTACTAGTATTCATGGGACAAGGGGAGCCTAAGGTCCTCCTACTCCCCTGCCATATTCCCCTGCTGTTGAATTAGATTTGCTTTTCAGGTTGGTAAGTATCATTATGTTATTTGTTGGCTCTGTGTTTAGATGTATATACAGTTTAAATAATGTTTAAATTTATCCTATCATAAATGTAATCTTTTTCTCATTAGTTTGGATTTAGGTGGCGAGTAGAAAAAGAAGTAATTTCAGGAAAAGGTAATTCATTTTTTGAAATTTTACTTTTTAATAGGATAAAGTTATTTTGTTATATTATTGAATTGAAGTCATTTGGTAAGATTATTCCTAATTTATACAATAAATGCTTATCTATAAAAATAAAATTACAGTCAACATATTTGTGATGTATGAGCAAAGGTCAAAATATAATGGTTTACTGATTTTTACTTCTAGAATTTTTGGTTTTAGAACATTTGATAGAGTATAAGTAGAAAAATTTTAAAAAAAAAACACTTTTTTTAAGTTTGTTTATTTATTTTGAGAGAGAGTGTATGAGTGAGAAGAGGCAGAGAGACAGAGAGAGAATCCCAAGCAGACTCCACACTATTAGCGCTGAGCCCAATGTGGGGCTTGAGCCCATGGACGATGAGATCTTGACCTGAGCTGAAATCAAGAGTTGGATGCTTAACTGATTGAGCCACCCAGGCACTCCAAAAATGTTTAAAGAATTAAACTAGTAAAGGATGAATACTTGAGGATTTTTTAAGTTAATTTTTGGAAGAATGATTTGGTATTACTGTATTTCAGTCTAATCACATTTTGAAAGTAGAGATTATCACTTTGAACCTAATGGGATTTTTGGATAGGCTATTTCTTATTTTGGGATGACATTGAGATTGAGACCAAATATTTAGTCTTACAGCAAAAGATCAAACATTTGGGAGGTAATTATTAAATGCTTTTTTAATGCATTGTTGTAATCTCATAAGTCTCTGAAAAATTAATCTTTATCATCTTTCATGCTGTAAAGTTAGCTCTTTATTGATAATTGCATTTTGAGGTGTTAATGCTTCTGAAAGCTACAAAGGAGCATTTAGGAAATTATTTTAAACTAATAACTTTAAAAAAACCTTTAAACTAAAAATAAAGGTTGCACTTTAGGATGATTAAACATCGACGCCATCACTGTGGATCATTTCCATCTTCCATAAATTCGATGTCTATGTGGAGTATAAAACTGGATATGCAATAAAACAAAATGAAAGAGTAGGACACTTTTTTCTTTAGATAAAGGATCAGCCCTGAAGATACTCTAAAGAAGAAGGAAAAAGAATAAATTTAAAGCTATTTTTTAACTTTTCTTAGTATTGCATTTTAGTTTATGTTTTTATGTAAACAATGAAAAATTTTGAAATGTTTCAGTTTTAAAATTTTGTACTTTTATTAACTGGAATTTTCAGGTGATGGTAAGTAATGCTGCCTTTAAAAAATTGATAGGCATTCTCTGAACTAATATAAGTGAAAAAAGGACTAGTTGGTGAGAGAAAGCTTTTGCTATGATTTTGAATTATAATTTTGTTGCTGTTTTAACAATAGAGCCATTACTAAACATACATTTCATGAAGTATTCATTTAGAATGAGTAAAAAATGCCAGTTTAGAAAAGTTACAGGTTCTTTGGACTGATAATTTTCAAAATTCATTTCAGTAATTTCTTTTTAATGAAAAGTTGAGATTTGTTCCTGTTGGTACAAATTATTGAGATATAAATTATTTTTTTACTGTACAAGTAGAAGGTTCATCTTCTGTAAAAGTAAATAGTAGTTGCGTAGTTTCTTTCATTTTTTTCTCTTGAATCGTCATTATCAGTCCTGTTTTACAGAATGTTTTCATATACAGCAGACATGATAATGTGTTGATTTTAGTGTCAAATAACTCTAAATGTAGAGCATTATTATTTCTACTTATTCTGCTTCATCTCAGAGTACTACCATTTTAAAACGTGCTTTAAATGCCATTTTATGCTGGTACTTAATATAGATGGTATAATGTTAATACTTAAAATAAGAATTTTAATCAATTTAAAAATTATTATTAAATATTAAAAGGAATTCACCAAGGTATAAATACATGTATTATGGAAAATATATTTATTCTTTTAGGGTATTATTATTGAGTATACTTTTTTAGTACTTCCATTTTCCAAAGTATAAGATTCCCTAACAGGGAGTTAGTAAAACTCTGATCTAAACAGTTTATCTGTTGAGCAAGAATTCTGCGACTGATTTTTTTTTTAAACGCTTTCTTCAGCTCTTTGATTTAATACTTCTTTACACATTTGTTGAGCATTCTATAGTTATTACACTCAGTTATTTTTTAATGCTGACTTGCTAGAATTAGAATTTATGTATGGTAAATTTCAGGAGTAATTCCAGATTAATATTAATATTCTATATCAATATTGTCACCAACTATCATAGCTAATATTCCTTTCTTTTTTGCAGGCCAGTTTTTCTGTGGAAATAAATGTTGTGATGAAAAAGAAGATTTGAAGAGTTGGGAAGTTAATTTTGGTTACGTTGAGCATGGTGAAAAGAGAAATGCACTTGTTAAATTAAGTAAGTTGACTTTAGCGGGGATATAACCACTTTCTTCAAAGTTTATCGAATTGCTTAGATTTAAAAATATATAAGCTAATTTAAGGTTTAATTAAAAATTTTTGATGTATCATTGTGGAAGTGCTCATTTTTCTGAGAGCTTACCAAAGTGATAGATAACTTTTGAAAATAAAATTTTTATATTGCTAGCATTATGGTGACATTTTAGGTGAAACAGTTCTAGTGCCAGATAGAAACTGATAATTTGTAAAGTTAAGACCTCTTCCCATTAATGTGAGAATGTCACCAATGCACAATGAGATGTGGTGTATCAGAAAAGGGAGCATAGAATCTCATTACCTAGTAGCCGTATTGTTATGGTGTGGACAATAAATACATTCTCTTTGTGTCAATAAAGAAAAGGTTTTAGGAGGGTAACGGTTCAGTCTTAAAAGCTTAAGGTTATAGCCCAGAATGCAGCAGCCTCTCGTAATATGCATGTTTTAGAATCTGTCATTCCTCCTTTTCTTCTCTTTCCCCTTTTCTTTTCTCTTCTCTTCCCTCTTTATTTCCTTTCTCTTCTCTTCTCTTCTCTTCTCTTCTCTTCTCTTCTCTTCTCTTCTCTTCTCTTCTCTCTCAGCTAGTCTTCTGTGTCAGCTTCTTCTCCTGTCATGTCATCTACCGTACCTGGGTCCTAAATAAATGTGCTTCAGAGTTTTCTGCTCACTCCATACAGAAGTCAAAAATTTCCTCATGTGCTACTTAATGCTCACCAGAGCAGAAGTCCCTCCTGGAAGTGCTCATGGGGATAAGACAGCTGGTGTGAGCTGAAATTAAGTTTATACAAGGCAAAAGAAGAGCCCACAACTGTGGAACTTTTTGAAATGCTATTTGTTATTTGAAAACTTTTAGAAGACTTCAGAGGAAGTGACTATACCCACACTGTTGTTATTAGATATCTTTTTTATGAGGCACTCATTAATGCTATGTATAAAACAGTTTGCTTTTAAAATAAATTGACAGTACTTTTTTCTAAAGTAATGTTAGAATATTTTCGATGTCTCAAGCATTCTAATACCCTTTTTACTGTGCAGAGCCATTTAAAAAAAATTTTTTTAATGATTTATTTTTGAGACAGAGGGAGACAGGACGTGAGTGGGAGAGGGGCAGAGAGAGAGGGAGACACAGAATCTGAAGCAGGTTCCAGGTTCTGAGCTGTCAGCACAGAGCCTGATGTGGGGCTCGAACCCACAAACTATGAGATCATGACCTGAGCTGAAGTTGGACGCTCAACCGGCTGAGCCACCCAGGCGCCCCCAGAGCCATTTTTTGAGGTAGAGAGAATCAAATTGTTTTTTTCAGAGTCTTTATTTCCCCTCTTATAGTAAAGGGATATAAGGAAGAATGAGAATGTATGATATTAAAAGTAGAGTAGCAGTACAGTTATTCTAATTCAGCCTTTCAGTGGTGTCACTTTTTTTTTTTTTTTTTTAGGATTATGCCAAGAATGTTCCTTTAAATTAAATTTTCATTACAGGTAATATTATCTTTTAAAATGCTGTTGTTATTGTTTTCTAGTCTTGAATAGTCACTTAACTTACACTGAATGTCTAAATGTAGACTTGAGTGGTTGATGGTTTAATTAATTGACTGTGTAGAATATGTGGCATTACTGTGTGATACACCATACACATATACCAGGGAACTGGAAGGTTGCCTTGCCGTACTGTAGCCAAGCAGTTTTAAATGTGAGGGCCCATACACGGTGGTAGATAGATGTTAGAATGTTTAGTTTGGAGTCAGTGTTCAGATGCCATAATATTCTTGTAAACTGTATTATAAAGCAGATCTTCATAAAGTGATACTTCTGTCTCATTTAAATAGTGTTTTATTTGGAGTTTGTCATTCTTAAAAGGAATTATATTCCTCTGTTCTCATTTCAAATGTCAAAATCAGGCTCCTGTTGAGTGAGCTAGAATGTGGCTGTCATGTTCAGTGGGGGAGGAGTATCCATGTTCTGCAGTCTGCAGTACATATCAAGAAGGTCATGGGCTTGGAAATCAGCCCCCTGTGTATTCCTCTCAGCTTCTCCACTTACTAGTTATCTGTGTTGGGCAAGGAACTTAAGCTCTAGGGGGCACAGTGGTGCCTCAGTTAAACGTTGAGCCTCCGGACTTGATATGACTCATGTGGTGATCTCACGGTTTGTGAGACAACCCTACCTCGAGCTCTACCCTGACAGTGCAGAGCCTGCTTGGGATTCTCTCTCTCCCTCTCATGCTGCCCCTCCCTCTCTCTCCCCACCCTTCTCTCTTTCAAAATAAGTAAATAGGCATTAAAAAAAGGTATGGAAACCAACTTGACAATAAACTATTTAAGAAAAAAAATTAAAAAAATAAAGTAAAATGCAGCATTATAAAATAATAAACTTGTCTTTAACAGAAAAAAAACATTAAAAAAAATATTTAACCTCTGTAAAACTCAATTTTATCACCTCTAAAAATGAGGATGCTAAGGATACACTGGTAAAAGTGCCTATAAAGTGCTTGACATAGTGTCTGGCATATGCTAAGTCAAGCATAGAGAGGTCCCTGGCATTGAGGATGTTCAGACAAAATCTGTGACCTGCCATTATTGTGAATTTGTCAAGCCCTGAATAAGTTGAAAGTCTAACAATGAGATTCTGCAGCTTTATAAAATATGCATGTTAGTATGGTAAAAAGATTTTTTTTTAACATTTATTTATTTTTGAAAAACAGGGAGACAGAGCACAAGCAGGGGAGGGGCAGAGAGAGGGGTAGACACAGAATCCAAAGCAGGCTTCAGGCTCTGAGCTGTCAGCACAGAGCCCAATGTGGGGCTCGAACTCACAAACTGCGAGATCATGACCCAAGTTGAAGTCGGACGCTTAAGCAACTGAGCCACCCAGACATCCCAGTATATTAATTTTTAAATCAGCTATGCTATGAATGTGCTGTACCTAGTATTTTAGTTATTAAAAAATATTAATAATTTTTAAATTCTTGAAATTAGCAGAATTTTTAGATTATTTGAATAGCCTAACCTTTATTTCCCCTCTCCATCAGTGATACCAGAGGGGTTTTTTTTACCTTGACTTTCGAGCTTCATTTCAAAATTGAAATGATTCTTAGGAAAGGCAGAAAGTTGTGACTGCCTTAAAAAGTATTATGGCATTTGGTCTAAGTAACTTAATTTGGAAGGTCTCATGAGTAAATTTCTTGAAACTAATCCCCTGTTGTCTCTTCCTTCTCTTTCCCGGTCCCAATTTTAGCATTATCACCTTTTCCTATCTAGTATTTCCTTTCTTAATGAGTTAAAATCAATTATTTGCCAGCCATGGTACCAACAGCCTTGTACACATGGCCTAGAAGAGATGAAGCTATAGCTATAAAAGGACAAATGGTCTAAAGTAGACATTTGAGTTAAAGTAAGCACCTGCATCCTCATTCCTTTATGCCTTTACCGTATTCCTTTTTTCTTAACAGGTAGTTTAGAACTGTTATAGTGTTTCGTCTTTTGTGTGTTTTTTCAAAGTATAGGTAGATATGAATTATGTGGAGGGAAATGACATTTGTTTTTGTAATTAAAAAATGATTAAATGATAGAAAACAAAAAGGAGGAAATGAGTAAAACTATGATTTATACTTACTAAAATTTGTATACAGAACTTATAAAAAATAATTTGTCTTAGAATTTTAGGCTCCATTCAAAATTGTCTTAATTAATATACTAACCTAAAATATTTATGGACTCATTTAAGTGTTCCTTATGTAAATTACATTATAAAAATAAGTAGTTTAACTGATTTGACTGTTTTGCTCATTGGTTCTTATTTTTCATAAAGGTCAGTTGAAAAAGTTAACTTTAGTTTTATATTCTTCAACATAAAGGAGGAAAGAAGTCAAGTCAAAAAAAAGAAAGGACAAAACCAAAAAAGATCGTGAAGAGTCATCACATAAAAAATCCAGATTATCTTCTGTAGAAGAGACTTCTCAGAAAAAAGAAAAAGGTAAAAGGGAATTCAAATATAATACCTTCTCACATTTTTTAACATGAAATATAATCTATATGTGTCAAATGTAGAATTTAATTGGTGAACATATTTAGATTTCTGTTTTATAGTAGTTACTAGTTGGGAAATTAGATAGGAATTTATAGTAATTTACAGGGGTTTCGAAAGCAAGTTGGCTTTTAATTCATTTTGGGCAGATGGTAATAATATTGTAAACAGCATTCTTCTTCCTGACTTTGTCTCATACACCTGTTACCTTGGGCAAGTCCATGAACTTTTTGAGTTTTACTTTCCTCATGTATGTAGGGACGATACGAATAAAGGGCTTCTTTGCTCTTTGAGCTTATTGTTGAGAATCAAGTAAGAATGTGAAAGGCACTTTGAACACTGCAAAACAGTACATAATCCATAAGTCAGTATAAAATTATAACACTGTGATTTCAATTACCTTGGCCTTTGTGATTTTCTTACTAGCTTATGAGCTTCTTGAAATCATAGAGCTTGATACATATGTGTCTCCAGACCTAGCATCGTGCTGTTCACATACTCTTAGTAAATAATTGTTAAATTCAAATCCATCCATCACTTACTTCTTCCTCAGTAGTCCTTAAGCTCTGTTAGCCTTAATTTCTTCATGTGTAAAATGGTCATGATGGTAGTACCTGGATCATAGGGTTGTTCAGAAGTTGAAATGAGATAATGAAGATAAGCTGTTTGCACAATGCGTGGTACACAGTTAGCTATTATGAAGGTTACTGCTAGTTTATTTTTTAGTCCATCTTAGAGTCAAATTGGCTATAACTTAGAGTGAATTGAATTTAAATTATGTAGTTAATGGAAGATTGTATTAGTTTCAGCCAAATGTTAACACAATACTTGGACAGGAGAGGGCTCCCTTGCTCCAGCTCTGAAGATTATTAAATAGGTTTCATTCTTACATGTAGTTTTTTTTCTAGTGAATCATAACATATTCAAGCATATAGTATCACCAACTAATAGAGTTGGTGAAATTGATAGATGGTGAGAAGAAAATACTCTTCCGGGTTTATTGAGAAATGGTATTTGAAGCAGAATTCCTTTTTGTGTCTATCTTAATCATTTCCAAACTCCAAAATAGATGTTAGTAAATGTGAAAATTCTGTTTCTGTTTTTAAAAAATTTTTGTTTTAGAAATATTTAATGTATCATACTTGAGGGTTTTGTTGATTTCATTATTATATAATACTGTATTCATATCATAGTATGATACCATGTTACTCACTATGTATCCCAAATTAAAGAAGAACTACTCCTTACCTTGTAAAAGCTTAGTACCTTCAAAGCAGACAGGTAGCTGGATACTCAGGGTCAGGTATGGGGTTGGAACACTCAGATTACACACAGAACTTCCTTACAGATGTTTTTCCTGTAGTGCTCCATATTTTAATAGATGACACCTCTGTCAGCCTAAAATCATACCTGGAAGTTGCCTTCTTTGTTCTCATTATTTATGTTTAATTAGTCACCAAATCATGTCAGTTTTACCCCCAGAGTATATATTTCTCAAGTTCTCTCTACCCTAGTTCAAACTACCATGTTTTCTCATCTAGACCACTGACGTATTACTGTTCTTCACGAGTTCTGCCACTGTCTTGTTATCCCGCATGCCCTCCCCTTAATCCGTTCTCCATAAAGCAGTGATTTACTATTGTTCTTAGGACATAACCAAAATCTGCACAAAACCCAGAGGCTCTGTATGACCCAGCATACAAAACTTGTGGTTCTCATCATGCTTCATCTCACTTTCACACTCCACTCCACAGCCTTTCAGTTTCTAGACAATGCCAAACTTCTTTCCTCCTAGGGACTGTGGAGATGCTCCTTCCTCTCTTTCTAACCCCTCCCTCTACCACCCAGTGCCATCCTAACTCATCCTCCAGGTCTAAGCTTAAACGTCACTTCCTTAGGGATCCTTTCCTCCTTCCATCCCTGACCATGAATTTAAATTAATACCTCCAATTATAATGCCATCAACATTATAGAACTGGAACTTTTCCTCATTACATATGTGACAGTTATATAAAAGCCCAAGTCTGGGCTGTGTATCTGTCTGCTGTGTTCATTGCTGTATCCCAGCACCTTTAAGGTGAAAGTAAGAAAGAATGAGAAAATGAAAGACTTTAAAGATTGTTTCAGGACAACTTCAGGGATAGAGAATGAAAGCAGAGTAGATTTGAGAGATCTTTTTCTGATTTATTCTTTATTCAGAGCACCTGATAGCAGAGAGCACAAAATATAGTTAGTTTTTTTCAACTTCTGTGGCATAAAGCAAAAAATGACAGGATTTTAGCAAACTTAGGAAAACCATGTTGAACTCTGTAATATCTTTGTATCTGGGATCATCTGGAGCTAGCTTGACTTTGATGTGAAACTTTATAGCTAGACAACCGTAATTTGGCCCAAACTTGAATAATAATAAATGCTAATATCTCAGCCTCATTTGTTTTTTTGTTTTTTTTTTATTTTTTATTTAAAAAAAATTTTTTTTTAATGTTTTATTTATTTCTAGGAGAGAGAGAGAGAGAGAAACAGCGTGAGCAGAGGAGGGTCAGAGAGAGAGGGAGTCACAGAACGAAACAGGCTCCAGGCTCTGAGCTGGCAGTCAGCACAGAGCCCAACGCAGAGCTCAAACCCACGAACCACGAGATCATGACCTAAGCGAAAGTCGGATGCTTAACCGACTAAGCCACCCAGGCGCCCCTATCTCAGCCTCATTTGAACTGTTGACAAAACTTGTCAAAACAGTCTCCTTTGTTGATTTTCTTCCTGTCTTTCTGGTCTCTTCTACACCTCTTGATTATAGGTCCTCCTCAGTCTTACTCTTAGGTGTTGGGAATTGCCTATGGCTCTCACATCATTTCTCTTCTTTCTGTGTTCTCCTTTTGTGGTCCCATTGGCTCCCATAGTGTCAGGTTTCTATCATACAAAATGTTAAGTAAGTGGATGGATGGATGGATAATTGGATAGCTAGATTGCTGAGTCAGTGGATAGAGAAAAAAATATAAAAAAGATCAATAGCTTGACTTTGAGGACCAGTCTGCTTTGACAGGTCTGAGCAGAACACAGTACTTAGGTAGAATATCTTGGCAGAAAGTTGAAGATCTTACTCCTCCCACCACTACCAGTCAATCCCCAAGCTCACTTTCCTGGGAAGACCTTTCCCGGCACCCTTCATTCCACACCTCCAGGCAAGATTAGGTCCCTGTTAAACACTTTAGTAGCACCTTGTACTTCTCCTTTGGAAATACATATCACCCTTGAACTAATGTGTTTTCTGTTAAGAAATGTAACTTATTTAATTCTTTATTCAATTTCTTAAACTTTTTTTTTAATTTTTAAAAATTTACTTCTGAGGAAGAGAGAGCATGAGCAGAAGAGGGTCAGAGAGAGAGGGAGACACAGAATCTGAGGCAGGCTCCAGGCTCTGAGCTACCTGTAAGCACAGAGCCCGACATGGGGCTTGAACCCGTGAACCATGAGATCATGACCTGAGCCGAAGTCAGATGCTTAACCAACTGAGCCACCCGGGCGCCCCTTCTTTATCCAATTTCTAAGCACAGTGCTTTCTCCACATAGTAGGTGTTCAACAAATGTTAGGTGAGTGAGTGAATCAGTGAAACAGTTCTCAACATTGAAAGGAACATCAGAGATCAGCCCTGGGATCATGATCAAAAAGATACTGTGTGGTTTTCTTTTTAAAATATGGTCCTCTGGTATTGTCATCATTTGGGAGCATGTTAGAAATGCACAGTCTTGGACCTTTCCTGATCTCCTGAATTATTATAAGTACAGGTTAAGTTCAGGGGTGATTCATAGGCATCATAAAATTTGAGCTGCACTGCTCTATATCAGTACTTACTCTGCTTTCACTTTGACACCTCCAGGGAAGAGGAACTTACTACCATCCAAAATATTATTTTATGTTTTGGTTAGTTGTAATTGTTAGCAGGTTTCTCCTTAACTAATTTAGCCCAGACCTACAATTTCTTCCCTTTGGTTCCAAATATGTCTTTAGGCCTCCAAAATGAGCTAACCTCTTTTTTTTTTACACACCTATAGACATTTGGAACCCGGTACTGTGTTCCTCATATGACAGAGAAGAATCCTTTCATTTGTTGCCCACTTAGCTATGTTTTTATTTGCTTTCTGATAAGTAGGAAATAGGAGTGAAGAAACAACCTAAAAAAGAAAAGAAAAGAAACAATAACCTAAAGTGGTTGCTACAGTCCAGGCCTTGGCTTCCTGTGGAGTTGTTACTCTGTGGTTGTGACACCCTCTTCATTGGGCCTGAAAGGGGCCATTTATGTATCTCCTTTGCTTTATGAGATCTCCTATCCAAGGAGGTTGGCGGACTTGTTACTTTCCACCTGTTATCTGCCATTTTCTGATTTATCAGTCTTCATTCAGAATTATTTCCCTTCTGGTCTTATTGCAGAAGATTCTGTAGAGTTATGATTTTTAAAAATTATGCTAGATTTTTAGTACTTTTTTCTTTCTGTTTCCCTCACTGGATGACTATTGTAGGACTAAAAATGTTTGTTTTATGAAGTAATATTTGGTGTGGATTTTAGTTACTAAGAATTCTCATCTGTATATGAAAAAGCATTGTGAAAAATGAGTATTTATTTGTAAACTGCTTTCCGATGTTGAACATCATACTATAGATAAAATATGATTATATTGCAGTTAATCTGTGAGAGTTTTTTTTTAAACAATACGAGTTAATATTTTCGTGGTTTTTTTGAGGTGTTTATTATTTGTTTAAGCTTTGTGCTGTATATTTCAAGCATAAAATACCTCTGCCTAAAAGACTCTAACACTTTAATTAGAAACATAAGTCTGCGAAACATGAAAGATTCAAATGCAGTAAGGTGCTTTTCTGTAAGAATATAAAGTAAACTAGACTCTTGGGAAGAATTCTGGTCACAACTATAACTGTTATGCTGTTGCAAAATGATTTTTAACAAAACAGTGCTGTTTTCTTTTCAGGGCATTCATCCTCAAAGGAATCAGAAAATTCTGTGAACAGTAAGTATTAAGTATTTTTTTATTTAATACACATATATAGATTCAGATTATTTACAGTTTGGGTTTCCCATCAATTGTGACTTGCTCTGATATATTATTTTTTATTTTTGTACTGTGTGAGAAGAATCAAAGAAAAAGTGCTAGGAGTCTATGATTTCTTCCCCAATTTAAAACATTTTAAAGTTTCTTAAAATGGAAGAGCATAAAATTTTTTTTCAGTAAATATTATGGATACACACTTTAATTTCACATTATGGAATATAAAGGAAGAAAAAGAGATGAGAGTGGAATGGAAAAATTGGGGAAGTGGATTACAATTTAAGAAATGTTGCTTATATTGTATGAGACTGAATTATCTCTGTTATTTCATGGTTTCGAGTGATCAAATGAAATGTGTGGTTTGTGTATGAAAAGTAGAATGTTGGCATCTGGCTACTACTGGTTAGTTTTTAAATAAGTACTGTGGTTTTCACCTGACTGTATCAAACCAGCTTGGATTCATTGACTATTTGCCACAAATTTTATTGTTTTTCCCTGTGACATTCCAGAAAACATTCAAATAACTTACAATAAAATAAGATTTTTAAAAGTGAAATCAAAATAAGGGATAAGTAAGATAGAATAGGAAAATAAAGCTAGACAAATATTTACCAAAAAGTCCTACATAATTACAAAGGTAGATCACACATTTGTCACTCTTCTTCTACACAATCAAACCAAAGAAGGAAACCACCAGCAGAATGATTAATTGTACCCATATAATCGTATGTAGTGTGTTCATCTTTTTCCAGGCAGTGTTCTGAGAGCAGACTCTCCTGTGAATTCATATGGGGCATCCATCTGTGATATAACAAACAGTAGCCTTGGCATCTCAGTAGTAATACAGTGTCAAATTTCTTAAAGACATTGCAGTAGTATAAATAAAGTATAGTTCAAATAGCATATCTAATTTATTTAAACCTATTTTATAGAAATTCAGAAATTTGAGACTTCTACGCTTAGAAATTTATAAACTTAAGAATTAAGTTTTTCTGATTTTTTAAAATATATTGTCAAATTGGCTTACATACAACATCCAGTGCTCATCCCAACAAGTGCCCTCCTCAGTGCCCATCACCTACTTTCCCTTCTCCCCTATCCCACCCCCCATCAACCCTCAGTTTGATCTTTGTATTTAAGAGTCTCTTATGGTTTGCCTCCCTCCCTCTCTGTTTGTTAACTATTTTTTCCCCTTCCCTTCCCCTGTGGTAAGTTTTTATCTGATTTAAAGTAATACATATTTACTGTGACAAAATCAGTAAAAAAAATTTGTAATTACTCCAAATCCCACTATTCAAATAGAAATATTATGAGCATTTTAATTCTTCTTTTTTAAGTTTATTTATTTATTTTTGAGAGAGAAAGAGAGAACAGTGGAGGGGCAGAGAGAGAAGGAGAGAGAAAACACCAGGTGGAGCACCCTGCTCTCAATGCAGAGCCTGACATGGGGCTCAGACTCACGAACCATAAGATCATGACCTGAGCAGAAATCAGGAGTCAGATGCTTAGCTGGCTGAGCCACCCAGGTGCCCCTTAATATAATTCTGAAGGAGAATTTTTAAGTGGTCAGTAATCAGAAATTTTGCACCTGGGAAAAATAGAAAAAGAGGTTTTAAGATATTTGCTGTGTAAAGATTTAATGGAGAAGGAAGTGTCAGTGGAAGCATTCCTCTAGTTTAGGAATACAACATACTTATTATAAATTATTTTGCTGATACCTGTTTTGTTTTCAGCATATTTAAAATGTTCTAAAGCACTGATCTTTGTTTTTCCCCAAGTAGATCCTCATTGATGTGTAGCCCCTTTTCCTAAATTAGAGAAAGTATAGTAACAGTTTCCAGAGCATAGCCAGGCATGATGCTGAAAGACTTTTGCTATATGGGGCGGAAGTAGTGTGTGTGTGTGTGTGTGTGTGTGTGTGTGCAGAATAATAAATAGTATAAATAGATATATATAAAATATGTATATAATATATATAAAATATATAAATAAATAGTAGAACTATTTTTCACTTCTACTTGGATAATGTTCAGTTACCATTTTACTGCCATTTAACATATGGATTATTAAAACCAAATCCATGAAGAAAATCCCAATTTCTATAGGGAAAAATAATTTTAACTTGCATTTGTTGATTATCTACTCTATCGGCCACAATGGCAAGTGGTTTAGTTATGTTACCTCATTTAATCTTAATAATGGACATATAATGTCTCATTTTGCAGACAGGAGAACCAAGACCAGAGATTTTACATAAATTGCCTAAGATTTAGTCATTGGTTAATAGCAGAGCTGGGATTAAACACAGACTTATAACTCTACAAAGTCTGTGCCCTTTTACTTGTATTATCAGTAACTGTTCATCAGTGAATCAAATGTAAGTCTACTCTTTATACCCAAATTTTGGCAGATACATTCTGTAAATCTATTAAATGATTAAATCTATTAAATGATTTGACCTGTGTCTCAGTTCTATCTGTAAAATGAGTATAAAGAGACTTAACTTGGTTTTTTTTATTATCAAAGCCAAATGAGACAATACACATATAAAGCATGTGTCCAACACAAAGCAAGTTCTTGATAACCTATAGCTATTATTGTTGTTTGGGAAGAGAAAGAAAACCAGACATTAAACAGATTCTGGGTTTTGTTCTTTAGAATTGGTCAAATCAAAAGTTAAGTCTATAAAAGTTTGACCTGTCTGTTTGTTATCATAATTGGAGACTTGCCACTTCTTCAGTAAGCCCAAGTTATTTAGGCATCATATAATATCTAGAAAAACCAAGATGACAGATCTGTTTTCATTATTCAAAATATAGGGAAAATTGTATGCAGTTTGTAATACATTCTAAAACAAACATTGAAAACTTAAAGTAGGTCAAAAATGGATTATTAACCAAGGCATTGACAGAACTTGAAAATGTCATAGGAAGAAGGTTGAAGGCAATACAGATGTTTAGTTTGGAGAAAAGTGAAGGGTTGGGAGAGAAGGGATAAGGAGTTAGACACAGAAAATGTAGATGTTTGTAAAACTGTTTTTGTGTAGACTTATTTTTGGTGACTATCTGGCAGAACTAGAATCTATGGAAGAAAATTGCCCAGAGACAGATTTTTGCCTTAATTTAAGGAAAAACTTGTCAATTAGAATTATCTGAAGAAAGGAATGGGGGAATGGGCTGCTTCAGGCAGTAGTGAAGTGTTTAAGCATAGATTGGACTGCACTTGTGGAGATACTACAGTAAGAGACTGAATCATTGGATAAGAGCTAGATTAAAGACCTCCAAGATCTCATACAGAGAGTCAGTGATTTTGATCTTCACTTGCTAAGAACTGCTGCTTACCTTTGACACTGATACAAGAGTACCATTTTGTATTGCCTTTTCTCATTGTTATTTCCTTAGCAGTGCCCCTCCCACCTCTGGCAGGCTGTAGCAGTTACCATAGGATGGTTTCTAGTTACTGCCACTGTCAGGGAACTAGAATATTATAGATTCGTAGGGTTGCTAAAGGTCATGTAGTAAAGTCGTCTGGATTTGATTCTCTAACAGTATTGGGTCACTTTTTTAGCATGTTATCTTTCAAAGTAAATTTTTTTATAATACTCTAAACTGATTTGCTCTTTTAGTAAAACTGGACTGTCTGGTGTCAGAAAACTGGTGTAGGAAAGCTGGCCTCTGGGAAGTACCCTTGACTGGGAGATGAGCTGCCCATTTTCAAATACCTTGTAGGTTTTGTTCTCTGATGACATTAACAGGGTAACACCGTAGTGTTAACTATTAGGCCTGATTAGTTTTTCTGTGCTTTTTTTATCTCGTGTTAGTGAGTTTTCATAAAAAATAAAAATAATAGTAGAAGACTTTTGTTCTTTTTTCTCTCATATTTGGCTTGGGACCCTGACAGTTTCAGTGCTAGTTGTTACTGAGTGGGAATCTTGTTCCCAAGGCTTTATAATTTTATCATCTTTTATTGTCTTTGTATGTAGATCATTAAAAGTACAACCTCTCTCCTTTTTTTTTCTTTTTTGCCATTTTTGTCAGAATTTGTGCTAGAATAGACTCAGTTAGAACCAAAGTTTAGATATGCATATTGATTCAAGGATCAAAGTCCAACACGTAAAAGGCTGAAACCACTGTGGCAAATCAATGCTGTTTTATTTTTGTGTGTGTTTAACTAAGGGACATTCTGTATTGACAGGCCAAATTTGTGTCAGTTCTTTAAGACTAACTTATTGGAGAGGAACTATTTGCTATTAAAATTACTATATGACATATACTTTTATTGTGTTTTTCAGTATTTGATAATTTTTGGTTCACCCCATAGGGTGATTTATATGAAACATGTCTATTTTGTTGTATTTTTAAAAATAGAAGTATCTTCATTGTTTTGATTTTTAAGGCAATACATGATCATTGTTTAAAATATAAAATATTTGGAAATGCTTAAAGTAGAAATTATCCCAGGCCCACAGATAATATAATGACTGTTAAAGTTTGTTTGGACCTTACAGACTTATAGTATATGTAACCACAAATTGTATTATACCATGCAGGCTTTCTGTAACTTTTAAGAAATTTGATATAGGACAGATATTTTTCCATGGTAATACATATAGATATGCTAAGGTTTTTTTGTTGTTTTTTTTTTAACAGCTGTATGGTATTAATTTAACCAACCCTTAATCCCTAACTGGAGAGGATATAGGTTGTTTTCTTTTCTTCTTGTTACTATAGAATGAATATGTTTGTACATGTATCTCAGGTGCTTATTTTATTCTAAGTAAATAATTAAATTCTTAAAAGCAGTGTTGTTGGTCAGAGTGTATGTACATTTTACACCAATCTATATTGCTAAATTTTCCTCAAGAAAAAAGTTTATAGAATTTTTACTCCTAACAGTGTATGAGTATGCTTGTTTCTTTGAAACTGGCTTCTTCTAATTAATTTAATCAGTGTTAATTTTTTTTAATTTTATTTTTTTTTAATTTTTATTATTATTTTTTTTTACAAATAGTTTATTGTCAAATTAGTTTCCACATAACACCCAGTGCTCATCCCCACGAGTGTCCTCCTCCATGCCCATCCCCCCCTCCCCCCCACGTCCATCAGTTCTCAGTTTTTGTCAGCATTCAAGAGTCTCTCATGGTTTGCCTCTCTCCCTTTCCCCCACCATTTCCACCCTTCTTCCCCCCCTTGTTTCTCAGTTAAGTTCCTCCTAATCCTCCTATACGTGCAAACATATATTTGTCCTTCTCTGCCTGACTTATTTCACTCAGCATAACACCCTCAAGGTCCATCCATGTTGCTACACATGGCCAGATTTCATTCTTTCTCATTGCCATGTAGTATTCCTTGGTATACATAAACCACATCTTCTTGATCCATTCGTCTGTTGATGGACACTTAGGCTCTTTCCATGTTTTAGCTATTGTGGAGAGTGCTGCTATGAACATTGGGGTACATGTGCTCCTATGCCTCAGCATTTCTATATCCCTTGGGTAAATTCCTAGCAGTGCTATTGCTGGGTCATAGGGGAGTTCTATTGTTAATTTTTTGAGAAACCTCCACACTGTTTTCCAGAGGGGCTGCACCAGTTTACATTCCCACCAACAGTGTAAGAGGGTGCCTGATTCTCCACATCCTCGCCAGCATCTTGTGTTCTCTGATTTGCTCATTTTAGCCACTCTGACTGGTGTGAGGTGGTATCTCAGTGTGGTTTTGATTTGTATTTCCCTGATGAGTAGGGATGCTGAGCATCGTTTCATGTGTTTGTTGGCCATCTGGATGTCCTCTTTGGAGAAGTGTCTGTTCATATCTCCTGCCCATTTCTTTACTGGGTTGTTTGTTTTTCGGGTGTGGAGTTTGGTGAGTTCCTTATAGATTCTGGATATCAACCCTTTATCTGATATGTCGTTTGCAACTATCTTTTCCCATTCCGTTGGTTGCCTATTAGTTTTGTGGGTTGTTTCCTTTGCGGTGCAGAAGCTTTTAATCTTGATGAGGTCCCAATCGTTTATCAGTGTTAAATTTTAAAAGCATCCGACAATATTTTTTTGTAATTTAACTAGCTGTCCTACACACTAGTTCAATTCTTGAGGTTGTAATCCTAAGGTAAATATACTCTCTATGAAATTCTTCTTTTTTTATTTTTAGTTTTTTTTAATGTTAATTTTGAGAGAGAGACAGAGACAGAGTGTGAGCGGGGGAGGGGCAGAGAGAGAGGGAGACACAGAATCTGAGGCAGGCTTCAGGCTCTGAGCTCTCGGTACGGAGCCCTACGCGGGCCCAAACCCATGAACCGCGAGATCATAACCTGAGCCGAAGTTGGTGTTTAACCCACTGAGCCACCCAGGTGCCCCATCTCTCTATAAAATTCTTAACCTGTGTGTCCTTTATATGTTGATAGAAAGAAGAAACTAAAGGGAAGACCATTATATTGCAAGAGATCATTCCTTTATAAGTGTTAATATTGTAATCATTACTTTAACTCAGTGTAACTTAGGAAGTTTCCCTTGAGACTTTCCTTGGTCTTTTTGCTGAGACTCTGGTATATCTCAGCTTATTTATTTATTTTTGAAAAGAATTATATTTGCCCGGAAGAATGAATTATGTATTCAGAGACATAAAAGCTGAAGCTAAATTGTAGTTAACTCTGAAGTTAATTAACTGCATTGATGGGTAGTTCAAAACATGTTTTAAATAGAACACATTTTAAAAGTCTCTTTTAAATGAACAGGAAACTCTGATGAAGATGAAGGTACTTCAGAATCTGAACTTTGGAAGGGTCCCGTACCAGAGACAGATGAAAAATCACAGTGAGTCCTGATATTAATAGATAATGCATACCCTTTACGTCAGTTAGGAAGCTGCAACCACAGCTGTTCTTGATAACAGTTGATGAAAAAGCTTAGCATCATGAATGTCTGTTTAATTCCAAGGACTCTCTAGTCTGATAACATCAGAGTTTAATTCTAGTCATTGTTTGTGGCCATAGACAGCTAACTTGTCCAGCTTCCTCTCTGTGGGTAAATCTTTCTTCAGCTCACCTTGACAGATGGCCCTCTCTGGTCTTTGCTTAGAATCCATCAGAGAAGGGCTGTTTACTAGTTCGTGCAGCCTCTTCATGATATTCTGATTATCATAAATCTGTACAGGAGAGCCCCTTGAAGATATGCTTGGGTAAATTGCTAACAACCACCTTAGTCCCTAAAGATAGCTTTTGTCATATACTGGGAAGTTCAGCACTAGAGCTTTATCTCCTAAAAGAGGATAAAATAATACCTACTGCAAAGAATTTATTGTGAAGATTTAATGAAATAAAGAATGGAAAGCACTTTGTGCCATATCTACAAATCTAAGTGCTCAATAAATTTTAGTCCCGTTTTTAGGCATTTTGGCTCATAATGGAAAGATACCTATTGAATCCATCATTATTCACTAATTTAAGCTGATTACAAAACATCTTTCTAATTATGATATGTTCCCAGTGTAATAGAATTCAAGTGTGTTGGAAAGAGGTGGTTTTTTTTTTAAATATTCTTTTATTTTTATTCTGTGACCTTAACTTTTTTCTTCAGCCAAATAATTTCTCATGTAAAAGTTATTACTATGAATAAAATATTGCTATCCTAGTCAAGCTATTGACTAAACTTTCAACTGTAAAACTTCCCATTGAAGAGCTTTATAGCTGAAAATGACAGAATAGGTCTTATGATCAGCTCATCTTTTCAGGCAGTGAAGATACTTGAGTAAATCCTAAGAAGGCCCTCATAATCCAGAATTCTTTGTAACCTTAATAAATACTTGACATTGATCAAGTACTCAACATCTCAGTCTAACAGAGATTCAGCTAATTTTCTATATTTAAGCTCTTACTACAATTTTTAAAATGTTAATGCATTTTGCTGTCATGCTGGGGAACAAGGGACAGCAGCATGAGGAATGCCAAATTGCAGATAATTCTTAACTCAACTTTAGCTGATTGTGTACTTACTTTTTTTTATTTGAACATGGGTGTAATGGCTTTATGCATTTGCAAGTATTTAAAATCAAATGATGGAGGCCCATTGTGAATCCCTGAAGTAGAAGAACTTTTTCTGAAGAGACTGGTAAACTGGATTTGACTTTACAGCTTGGTTGCCTTCTGAGAAGGAAGAAAAGCAGATGTGTGTACCTTTAATCCTCATAGTGCCTCTGTGAGGAAATATGTTCTCCATTGCACAGATAAGGAGACTGAGCCCAGAGAAGTTAAGTAACCCGCTCATATTAGTTAGTAAGTGACAGAGCTGGAACTTAAACACTGTCTGACTTGAAAACCTGTGGTATTTTCCTTCATCACTCTGGTTCCAAACACAAATACTTGTTTAGTACTTGACAGTTTTCATAGTATTTTAACACATTTATAATACAATTTAATATCTCTTTTCAGAGTTTGATTCTTTGTTTTAGACATGATTTGTACAGCTACAAATATATATTTACTATTCTCAGAGCAATAAAAACCTATAGCCTAAACAGGTTTTTCCCATTATTAGGAGTAAGACTTATATTTTTCCTGAAAATAGTTTTCTTTTTCATTATTTCTTGATGAGACTATAATTTGAAATGAGAATGAACAGGGAAGCTATAAAGTCAACCAAAAAAGTAAAGAGAAGCAATAACATTTTATAAAGTATGCACTTTAAAGTAAAATCTTAGGTAATAAGTATATTTAGGGGAAGGTGACAACATATAGAACATTTTAATCAGTCTGGGTATAGTTATGATTGAAGTTAAGAATTATTTGATGGCTGAATCATGAAATGTATTGATATATAGAAGAATCAGCAAATTACATTGAGTGAAAATATTTTCATTAATCTCATATAATGTGTCACCTAGTAATTTTTTTTCTGTAATTATTTATTTTAATCAATATTTGTACTTTTTTCTTTTAAATAGAGAAGAAGAATTTGATGACTATTTTCAAGATTTATTTCTGTGAGATGCAAGAAAGAAGCCCACGTTCCTTAATATGAAAGTGCATTTTGAAACTCTTCACAACAATGTCATCTACAAGTTGCAGCTTGAGTGGTTTATCTTTGGAAATAAAAATCCAACTACTGTCAGGATGTCAGCTACTTTGGAAGTTTTTCAGTTCCATTGGAGACATGTTTCGCCCTCCCTTCTGTATCTTTTCAGTTGCTTATCTTACAGGCCATTCTGCCTGTGGCTCCTCGAGGATGAAGCTAGTACACTGTACAGAGAGAGTCTGTGGTTCCTGTAATTTGTAGTTTTTGTTGTTGTTTTTACTCATTCATATTTATCTTGCCTTGCCTCAGTTAGCTTAAATTATTAGAATTATTGATACCTCACAAAAATTATGAAATAGAGTAAGTATGTCTTCAGCTTCTTTTTACTTTCCTGTCAGTGGCACCCCTCTGTTTAAGCACCTGCTTTCCCATCACAACCTATTTCTAGCTACCTTTTTTTTTTTAAGGCAGCTATAATCAAATTTGACTTCTCAGTGTGTGAACAGTTTATTAAATTAATACTATTGAGGGCAGGGGAGCCAATGAGGTCCCAGAAGTCTAAACCAGTAGATTAGGTTCACAAAAGCTAACTCTCCAACAGAGAGAGTCTCCAGTAAGAAAATTGAGCTGAGTAATAGTATGTGCTAGAGCTTGTCCCAGATACAGTCATGCAAATATGGATGTACTTCTGTGCCAAGATGTATTATAAAATGTGATTCTTAATTTGAGAGTCATACCCCTTATAGTCACTGGATGTGCTAAGCACTCCTAGAATCTGTGTGCAAACTTCTGTGATTATGTGTGTTTTGGGGGGGCTGTGTGTGGAAAGTCTACAGTTTTCATTAAATTTTCAAATGCATATATTTGATTTTTTTTTTTTAAAAAGGTTTTAACCAATTTTTATAAAGAGCAAGAGCCAAGAGGTAGAGAAGATGCATGATTTGGTGAAGAGAGAGGACCAATAGAAAGTGATCATAATAGCATTTTGATTATTTTGTTGAAGATATACTATTTTTTTAAGTTTATTCATTTATTTCAAGAGAGTGCGAACTGGGGAGGGACGGAGAGAGAGGAAGAGAAGGAATCCAAGCAGGCTCTGCGCTATCAGCACAGAGCCTGACATGGGGCTTGGAGCTCCGTCCCATGAACCTTGAGATCATGACCTGAGCGAGATCAAGAGTCAGACACTGAATGGACTGAGCCACCCAGGTGCCCTGAAGATATACTATTTTAAATGACATTTAAGCATGGAATGATTGGTATTCAATTGCAGAGTAAGTAGTTTAGTCTTTTTTTTTTTAAGGTTAATTTATTTTTTGAGAGACAGAGAGACAGAGCATAAGTGAGGGAAGGGCAGAGAGAGAGGAAGACACAGAATCCAAAGCAGGCTTCAGGCTTTGAGCTGTCAGCACAGAGCCCAATGTGGGGCTTGAACCCACAAACCATGAGATCATGACCTAAACCAAAGTTGGATGCTGAACCGACTGAGCAACTAGTGCCTTATTTTTAAATGGTTAGCATCAGAGATTTTCCTTTTATTAAATACTTGTTATTCATTTTATTTTATCAGAGTTCTATTATATGTGAGGCACTATGCTGGATATTGCTACAAAGGAACTGTCTAGGAAATAATTACGCAGTCATTTCTAACCTATCAAAAAACAATGAATCAGTATTGGCTTATTAATATTGTTTTAATATCCCCTCATTTCTTAAAGAAATTGTGTTTTTTTTAATATTTCACTACTTATAGTAACTAAAAAGGAACCTTGATTTGTGAGGAAAAAGTCTTGAAATGTCCAGCAGCAAACTGAAATTAGTATACATGTAGCTAAAACAGTTTTATGATAAAAGTATATTCATAGTTTAGTGGTTATCAGAAAATAAAATTCCTGTAAAATTAAATGATGACTAGAAAAACTAAAGACTTTTTAAAAATAGATCCATATATTTGGTATTGCAAGTATAGTTTATGGAGATGAGGTTCATTTATGAATTCAGATCATTATATATAATAACAACACTTAATCCATTCATACATAATGGAAGTCATATTTGTAAAGAGTCTTTGAAAAGGCCTCAGGATGATGAGTTTAAAGATTAATTCTCCAGCAGACCTGTCTCACATTTGGCTGTAGTACAGTCTGCAGTCAGCAGTGTCCAGTGGACCACTGGTTTGCGACATGAAGTTATGCTTTCTTCTACTTGCTCTTAAGCAAAATTCTTATTTTTACAGACCTTCAATGGTGGCACATCTCTGCTCCTCAATTTGCTTTCTAGTGAATAAGGAGGGGAAGTTGTTTGAGCTGATACTTTGGTGTCAAAAATTACATAAAGCTAAAGGAAGAGTTTCTTAGGCAGTTTCTAAAATAATCCTAAAAGTGGAGTTTCAAAATTATTTTAAGTAATGGAAATCAGGTATACATGTATTACTTACTCAAGGTGATGACTTTAATAGATAACACTCATTTGAGTGTATCTATTGAATAATTTTTTTCCCCCTAAAAATATTTTAACTTTTGGGCACTCCTCGTTTGAACCTGTTTGTTATGACATTCATTCAAAATATTATCCATATTTACTTAGCACCTACCGTGTAACAGGCACTACTCTAGGTGCCAGGATAGACTTAGGAACAAAATAGACAAAAATAGACAAAAGTCTTTCCTCTTACAGACCGTACATTCTAGTGTAAGAGTAGCAGCAATCCTAGGATTCTAAATCTTAAAATTTTTACTTGTAAACATAAACAAATGGTGATTTTTTTCTTCTTGTCTCCTTAAAGTTGAACAATATCTTCTGTATAACAAAATATTTGAAGTTCATACATTTTTAATTTGATTGATGTACACCATATAGTAGAAGTAGTTGATTGTCCTTAGTTTCTCTTGACAAATCAATAATTTAGAATGCCTAGTACATAGTTATAGTAATCATTTTCTTAAAATAATCTCTGTTGAAGACTGTTATAGATTGTTATAGCTATCTCTGTTATAGATTGCCAAAAGTGGGTGTGGTCTTCACCATTCCATGGTCAAGGATAAAAAGAGGAAATAGATGATAGCATTTCAGATAGAATAACATTTGGTATTTTATTTTCCATATACTACTTACAGGCATTATAATTTCTGTACTGTATTTACTTTTAAGACATGTTGTTGAGAGATTTTTGATTTAGGAAGGAATTTGAGGTGTGAATTACAATTATTAATGTTATGGGCTGAATTGTGTCCACCCCAAAAAAATTCATGTTGAAATTCAACCTACCAGTACCTCAGAATGTGATTATATTTGGAGATAGGGTATTTAAAGAGGTTATTGGAGTAACTGAGATTATAAGAATGGGCCCTAATCCAATATGACTGTGTCCTTATAAGAAGAGATTAGGACACAGACACACAAGACGGGAGACTTTGTGAGGATACAGGGAGAAGATGACTGTCTACAAGCTAAGAGGAAGGAGGCCTCACAAGAAACCAATCCTGCCGACAACTTGATCTTGGACTTGGAGGCTCCAGAACTGTAAGAAAATAAATTCCTGGTGTTCAAGCCACCCAGTCTGATATTTTGTTATGGTATCCCTAGCAAATGAATACTGTTAATAAGAAACTTTAAAAAAAGAATTTGTGACTGGTTACAGGATTGTATATTTTTAATTTAAAACAAATTGGCACCAAAAATGCACTTATTTTCATCTTGTATTTTCCACTTTTGTTGAACTTTATTTTGCCCTCAGGGTTTTCATGCTAGCGATAGATTTTCTTTTGGTGGTCACAAGGGTGGCTTATCTGTAGATCCGTTTACTCTGTTAGTTTGTGGTTTGCTGAATGAAATTTGCTGAAGTATTTTTTCATGTTTTCTGTTTTTCTTCAAAAGTAGAAAAAGTAATTGAAGTTTAGACCAGTTGGATTATATTACAACATTAGACATGTTTTGGACTTTTTGTCATCACTGCCACCTCCTGAATCTTCTGTGGCTAGTAGAAACAAGAAAAACAGTAGTTTTGGGAATCAGTGGACCCAGAGTATTTTTATTCTGACACTCTCATGACATTAGTATCAACTTTATAGCCTAATTAATAGTTTTAACTTATAACAAGTACCAGGGGTTTGATAATTTAAAAACGTGAACTCATGTTCAGGATTGGTGCTTTTAAAAAACAAAATCTAATAAATGATTAACCAATTAACAGCTGGTTCTCAAGGAAACCACTGATCTGCACTATCTGGGAATCTTGAGTTGTTGCTCTGTGCAAGGCACAAATGTTGTTGCCTGAGGGTACAAAATTATGTTCTTAGGTCACAGACTTTTCAGGGTAGCAGGAAAGTTCAGAAGTAATTTTTATACAAATAAAGTATAGAAGATCCATATCCAGTATACTGAATACTAAAAGAAAATGTCAGGTGCCACTTAACCTGATATCCTGTTCATAAAATTGAGTTAATTATTTTTTTTTTTAATTTTTTTTTTTTTTTTACAAATAGTTTATTGTCAAATTAGTTTCTACATAACACTCAGTGCAAAATTGAGTTAATTATTAAATTTACTTGTACTAAGAAATATCTTTGCTTTTCACTCGCATAGTAAAATTTACCATTTTTGTTATCTTTTTGAAGTGCAAATCAGATCTTATTGTTTTCCCATTTAAAGCTCTTTAGTGAGTCCCCTTAGGTCCTGTAGTGGCCGGATCCTCAAGCAAGGCCCTTAAGGCCACACTTCCCTGCAGAACTGTCTTACCAGTTTCCCAGACTCCCGTTACACCAGTGTTGAGTTCTACAATTGCACTAGGCTTATTTCCACTTCAAGGCCTCTGTGCATATTCTGTTCTTTCACTTCCTCCCCAACCCCACCTCCTTTCTTTGCTTAGCCAAAGCCTACCGTCTTCAGAGTTTAGCTTAAGCATCCTTCTTCAGGAAAGCCTTCCCCTGTGCAGCCTCTGCTGGTTATAGATAGATAATCAATTGTTCACTTATTGGTTTAATGTCTAGCTCCCCTACCAGGTGGTATGCTCTGTGAGATAAGGACCCTAACCTTCCCCAGGCCCTGCCTAGCACAGGGCCTTGTACAGAGTAGACACCCAATAAATACATTGCTGAATGAATATCAAA